GCATAATGTGTGGGGCAGAGGGGGGCTGAACGAGAGAGAGAGGAAAGAAAAGTTCGTTTATGTTTCGTTTTAAACCGAAAAGAATTTCGCTGACGATGTCATGTGGAAAGAAACAAAGAGGGGGAATACCGGTGGCTGTGTGACTACGCCCGCACACATGATCACTCGCAGTGCTGAGCTTTTGGGCATTCTCTCTCTTCCGCATTCTCTCTCTCTCTCTCTCTCTGGTGCTGGCGGCACCACAGGTTAGCAGTGAGTGCACACACACACACACACACACACACACACACACACACACACGCACACAGCTGCGGCGTCCCACAAGGAAATCGATGCAGCGCAGNTCTCTCTCTCTCTCTGGTGCTGGCGGCACCACAGGTTAGCAGTGAGTGCACACACACACACACACACACACACACACACACACACACACACACACGCACACAGCTGCGGCGTCCCACAAGGAAATCGATGCAGCGCAGCAGTCAGCGGCTCACCGGCGACGGGACGGTGCTGCTCCCGCTGGGCAACCGCGGCCCAGCAGTTATTGCCATGGCGTTTCTCCTCACGCTCCTCACCGCCGCCGTGCCGCCACCGCAGGGTGGCATGCTCAGTACCACACTCACGAGTTGCCGCAGTCCGACGCTGCTCCAGCAGCTCGCCTCCTTTGCCGCGATGCGTGACGTAGCGGAGGCGGAGGATTTGGATTGGGGCGCGCCGTCTGCGCTGTGCCGGCAGAAGACGTACGAGCTGCGCGTGCGGCCGCGTGAGGGGCAGAAACCGCAGCTGGAGGAGAATGACTCGCACGGCAGCGAGACACCGGACAGAGACGACACCACCGACTCCAGTGCGCCTGCAACCGGTGAAGATGCAGCAACAGCAGCGGTATCGTCACGGCGGCGTCCACACCGACGCCAGCACCGAAGAAAGAGGGCGATGGGCGCGCGGAAGGACGACGGGGAAGACACCGATAGCGATGACAAGGGCGTGGCTCTGACGCACACACCAATCAGCAGCAGCCACGGCCCCTCTTCATCGGGCAGAAGCAGCAGCAACAGCAGGAGCAGTCTGACGAGCAAAACAGCGGATGTCGACGGCGGCACCACCAGCACCATTGGCGGCTCACTGCGGCTGTGGTCGCAGCTGCACATGGTGGAGGTGGCGCTCAGCACACACGACAACAACCTGCTGCACATCACCGAGCGCTTCCTCCGCTACGAGCAGATGTACCCAATTGTCTACCGCTGCGACCTGCGCGATGTGCAGGTGCC